AAGTTATTATGTATTAATGCTCATATTTTATAATACAAGTGAGGATGCAAAGCATTTTTTATGTTCCTTGGTTACAATGTTGTCCTTGTCATTTTGTGACAAAAATGGGGAGTAGTTAGGTTCTTTTTGTTAGATATGTTTTGATGTAGTAGATATTTTACGTTTAAATGGATGTATATATATATTTTTTTATCTAGTCGATGTATCTAAAATTTTTTGAGGTTGATGATATTATATATTCAGTCTTGCTAAATTAAGTTTGATATTTTAGTAGTATCAATGTGTCTTCTTGGTATGTTAGGTCGTATTGGTACATGTCTTGATTTAGCATGCATGATTGAAACTTAATAATACCATATGTTTTTAGATTGCCTATATTCTATATACTGCTTGAACTGCTTTACTTATACTGTTTTTCACACATTTCACACTGGTGTTGAGTTGTCTATTTCAGGAAACATGTGCTGTTTAAAATGCAGAATTCGTTCAAGTCAACTAGTTGTATCATAGGTTTTTGCGTCTGTATTTCATATTTGATTACTGTCTCAACTTTAGTTAGTAGTTTTGTCACGAAACGCCAAATGGGGAGCTTGTTATGTTTTTAATTATGTAATTAACAATTCTGTGAACAAAGGGGATTTAATTGTAAATATTGTAAAAAAAGTCAAGTAGTAATGTGCAATTATTTGAAAATAGGTTTATTAGGTCTAGGGTTTGAGTATGACAAAAGAAGGAAAATACGGCGCAGATTTTTGCTAGACTGTCGCTATAGATTGATTCGAGCGCCAAAAGCAGAACCTTCAACGCTCGACTGTCACCCTGCCTTAGCTCGAGCGACTATCGCGAGCCCTCGTTTGAACGACAGTGTTGTCCAGAAAATTTTTATTTCGTGATTTAAAGGTTTTTTTCCCTACCCCATTATTTTTCTAACCTACCTATAAATACCAAAACACATCTAAACGTGGAAAAAAAGGTTGATCATTGAGAAAGCTTCATCACAAAGAATTCTTACACATTCCTACTTTCAATGTTAGGTTGTTTTGGTAAGAAAAACATCAATTTTGTTATTCAAATACCAAACTATTTTTCCATCACATCTGTCAGAGTTGCTGAAAATCGAAGGAAGTTGACTGGAGTTTCAGTCGTTGAATAATGCAGTGTTCTTCGTGGATCCACATGAGATAAACGATTTCACAAGGCCATGAGTTGCTGAAGTAGAGCACAATCCAGGAAAGTTTTAGTAACTATAGTTGGGAGTGATGCATGAGCACAAAATCCAGGAGAGCTATAAGAATTGCAGTCAGGAGATTAGATAATACGTGTCGTCGTCTAGGCTGGTAGACTGTAAATTACAAATCGTTTATGGTGGATTGTTAACTGGCAAAGTGTTTGGAGTTTTTACCCAGTTGGGATTTCTCCATGATCATACCGTGTGATCTTACTGCTTTCATTATTGATTATGTTAACTTCAATATTCAAACATACGTTAAATTGACTTGTATGCTTAATCATCTAAAGATGATTAACTGGTGACATGTTGCTAATTAATTAATATTTTTAATTCCACATAATATACATATTCACCTCTTCTAGGTATTGGTAGGGTCGAACTATATAACTTTCAAAACTGAACGCCAAAAAATTATGATTTGTTTTTAAAGTTCATGCACAAAATACAAAATCAAAAAGATTTCCTATTTGGTCTCTCCCCTGTCCACATCAAAACACAATCCAGAATTCAAACTTGAACAGATTCAAAAAAAATAAAAATAGTTTTCTTGTAACTGTTAACAACATAGAGAATTAAGAGCTTTATCCATTCAAATTTGATGAATGTTAATAAAACTGCAAGTGGGGTAAAATTTAAATTATTTTGATATAATCAACTGTATGTTAACTACACGCATTTTAAGCTTTGCTAAGAATTCTGTAGTACTCTCGAAATATTTTGTTTGTATTGCATTATAGCACTGTTTGTTTATTGCTACAGCAATTTTCTATTTTTTCATATTTCTGTTTGTTCACCTTTTCTTTCCTCTTCTTTCGATTTGTCCTTTCAGGATCTTTTCACTTTCTCCACTAGGTAGTTTTCGCTCTATCTTTAAGGTAGGCAACTTTTTCCCACCGGACTTACCTCGACTAGTGCAACATCTCTTATTAGGACTAATGATTGGGTTTTGAAACATAAGCAAGCAGCCAAGTGGATTGTCCACACCCCAAACATTCTTTTCAAATTATGATCCCTACAATTAAGCATTCACAAGTATCTATGTGCATCTAGATACATGGCAAAATTTTCTGAAAGTTTTGCCGGGATCCTCGAAAACACTTCAACTTTGGATCCAAGTGTTCGCGCAAAAACTCGAGGGTATGGCTGCAAGTGTCCATTATCCTCTGGACTTGAATGTAATGTTTTTATCGACTGCTTCTCCACGATGCATAGCTTTTGTTTGTACTCTTCACTACCAAACTCTGCCATTGCTTTGCATTTTTTCTCCCATGGATTCCACACAACTAGGTGACAAAGAAATATGGCTTTAAAATGGCAATACAGAAAAAGATAAGAGAGTTTTATTTTTTTGCCAGATGCTTCTC